TATTGGTAAACCATTAATTAGTTTTTTCTTGTTTCACAAAAGTTTGCTTATTAGCCTAGATTCATGTTAGAAGATAATCTTGTGAGAGATACCTAAAACGTGATATTCTGTGTAGTCCACTTAAAAATGTAAATTACGATATGGATCGAAGATTCGGTAGGAGAAATGTGCTTAATTCTCATCAGCGCGCAACTATAACATAAAAATGATAAATAAATAGACATCGAAATATTCCAAAAGAAACTCGATAGAAATAATAAGAACAAAGGTCTAGCAATGAACGAAACACTGCTTTTATTATTACATAAAATGAAGAACGTAAGTCATTATTGGTTAATATATAAGACACACATATATCTTATTGTGTCTTATTTCTCTTAACAATATCCATTACATGCATGCACTTAATCCACACTTACTGGTCTGATCTAAACCTGCGTCCGTTTGGTAACAAACCAACGAACTTAACGAGAACATCGACGGAGTTTTTCGCGGCGAGGTCACTGAACAAGTTGGCTTCGTTAGAGACGTCGGAGCCACCACCGGCAAGGTCGGAAAGGGAACGGATGACAATGAAAGGGAGCTTTTGCTCGTGGCAGATGAGAGCAACGGCGGCGCTTTCCATTTCCACGGCGGTGGTATTGAATTTGGAGCGGAGGAAAGTCCGGTAAGAGGCATTGTCAACGAAGACGCTTGCACTCATTCCACGATCAACGATGGTTACCTTCGGTGGTCGAGGGAGGCAAGTGGTGTTCACGCACTGTGGTAGTTTCGTGTCCTGTTTTTGGATCCATACAATAAATCAAATAATTGTACTTGCCGACAAAAAGGAAAGAAATTGTATATAGGGAAAATAATATAAACTATAAGGAATACTGTATATAGTATTTATATGACATTTCCGAAGTCCTATATGCTTTCGTGTATAGTACATTTCTATGATATCTTTATTTTTACTACAAATATCATAAAATTTGGTGTAATTTAATAGTTTATAAATTTATTTTTGTTTTTACTTATTTTGTGCAGCTTAATACAAAATATTACTATATATGTAATACTAACTTTTTGAAAAGTAACCAAATCTTAAGCATTTGTTATTCAAAATATAAATTTTTCTGTTTTTATATAATTTAATATTGAAATATTATACACATTTATGATTTATTCAAAAATTTGCAGAAACTAAAAAATCAACTTGGAGACACAATAGCATAATTATTAATCTTTGAACAGTTTAGTCAAACCTCGAGTTTGCGTGCAAGATCCAAGTAGGACTTGTCAACAGGAACCCAGAAGATGTGTTCCCGGACTTCGGGAGTTCCGGTGACCGGAAAGATTTCTTCCGGTTGGTACCAAATTCGATTGAGCAAGTTATCGGAATGGTTATTGTACTTGGAAAACTGGAGGTAACCAATATCCCGAGTATAGTCTCCGGCTGATTCCAAAGCCAGTTCGTTATCAATCCCATCTCCATATCTCTGTATTCAATAATTTATAAAAATGTTAAAAAAGTAGATTATGATATATATTTGGATATATCTTTTTTTTTATGGTAAATATATCTAAATTACTTTGTAGGAAAAACCAGTTGAACGACCACC